GCAGTGCCACGCAATATCAGGTGCAAAATACTTATGGCGGTTATGAAGAACGTCAACGAAAATGATAATCAGTAAGTGGAAAGGACAAAGCCCAACTACGGCAATTATGTCACGCAATTATGATTCTATCAATAACGCATGATGTGTACCGCAATAGCAAAATTTATGGTGGTCACTAATGACAACCATAACAAGAACAGAAAATGTCAATTCAACAGCTCAATTTCGTTGTGTCTTGTAAAGAATGTGTCACTCAAGCATATGAAATGTCACGCAGCATTTCTGAAAGCGTATAAAATGTCCGTAACAAAAGAACGAATCTTGAGCGTATGTACGCATGTCACGTAAGAAACAGGTACAAGTAGTTTGTGTCATCTGATCTTCGGGGATGAAATAATTGAAACTACGTCAACAGTTGCCCAGGTAACAACAGTTCCTTTATCATTGGCTACAATGCATGAGTACTTTCCAGCATCACTGACGTCAGCTTTTCTTATGTGGAGCACGGAGGTTGTCTGAAATAGAGAATGGTTGAAACACTTGAGAATTCCTAATTTGATTGAAGAGCTGTGAGAAAAAGCAAAACTGCGCTTTCTGTTATATATGAACGTGTAWGGCCTTTTTTCAACACTGATGCTGTCCAATAAAACTGTCAATTAGAAAATTGAGTTTTCCGTGCATACATAAGGACCCATGATAAGCAGTGTTGTGGTACGTTTTGTCAACATGGAGATATTTAGAACACAGAAATTTAAACCAAATATAGTATAAACCTTGCTAGGAAGCGGAGACATTCACGGACTCTTAGGCCGAAGGTTTATTTTAAAACCTGGTTTTCATGCGCTAGAGAGTCATTTAGTGGGGACCAGGCACTTAGCGCGGACGTTTTGGCTAGTACGCACGCGACACATATTTTGGATCTGGGGGATCTACGTCCGCCAAAGGTGGAAGTATTAATGGAATCTGGAACTCCCCCAGGAAATTTTGAAATGTGACTTCCAGCGTTTTAAGAGACATCGAGGGCATATAAAAGGGATCAGTTGTATGTGAATTTTTTAGTAATTTCTGTGAAAATTTTAATATTTCCTTGACACTAGTACGCACGTGCGTATATGCGTAAGGACGTTGCGCGACGGACTGTAAAGGTGGCTAACGTGCGCGTGTGAAAATCGGCAAAGAGATTTCAAAACCTAGAAAGCGTTAAAAGGCGTAATGAAAGAAGCGGTGCCAAAAGAGACGGAGCATCAAGTGAAAACACAGCTAAATTCCGCTTCCGTCTCTTTCCGCTCCAAATATGAAAAATCTTTTACTCTATTGGAGCGTCCCCGCGCAGACAGGACCTGAATGTATAAATCAATCTTACCTCGCCATCCAGAGCACTAGACCTTTTGTACCATCGGTATCGAAGGTTCTTTCCTACGGCATAACAAAATAACTTACAGTCCTTACCAAGTTGCACCGAACAAGACTTCGGGTGTGATTTGATGATAGGAACTGCGAACSAAAGGATATCGATTAGTACACCTCYTTAACATMKTGGGCATCAGYCTAAGTGATTCGTGAATAGTATGAATTATGATTCTGTGTTATTCATGATAATATTTATTTTCACATTATAAACAAGTTTTGCATCACAATATCAGGCTAGGTCTAAAATATCTGAAAATATAATTTTCCTTTTTTTGTTCGAACGCCTCATAGACCTCAAGAAGACTATCAAATTGAAATCGTTAGGCTAATATTGAAAATACAATCAATGATAAACTAATACAATTAGAGCAAAACAATAAAATGGTCATAATTTTGCAGGGTTCCCTAATCAAATTCACATTTTCTTTTGATCGACATATTACGACTCAACTGTTTGCTTCAATTATTTTAATTTTGTTAAGCGTGATGTCTTATCGACCTTTACTGAAATAACTGGTTAAATGGCAGGTTTCCTTGCATGTGAATGACGATCAAGCACYAACACTTTAGTGCTCTTTCACCAATTGATCCGACGATGTGTTGTCCTATTTTCCGGAACTTCGCTTCCAACAAATATTTTAATCATTATTCTGTTCATAATGAATAATTAGTGACAAAAATCTTACGCTTATTGTAGAAGATGATCTTTGTGATCTAATTCCACCCAAAATAACAAAAGAGAAGAAGTGAATCGAGCGCTAAAACAGGTGTCACTTTAAAATGACAGGTATTTGCATTGAAATGGCTTCCAAACCGGAAATAAAATACAACACACGCTTCAGAAATACATTTTAAGAAAATTTTTATCAAAACAGTTCATTATTTGAGAATTTCCTGAGTTTATTCAGGATTATTGGTTCAATGATAAACTAGCAAATTACAGCATAATTTTTATCTTTTTTTGATTTTATGAAAAGCAAATAAAAAAGTATCTAGCGGGTGATGAATTTCATTCAMTTTTTTGGACTCATTCAAGCTATTAGCGCATCTTACAACAACGAATTATCAAGCAAATTATTGTTAGCAACAGTATATTCCAATTACACAGAGCTAGTTTTTCAATTGGAAGAAATGAATCCAAATAAAAAGGTTAGAATTTGATAACAATTAGAATAACTGACCGCTTTAAAATGCTAATTTTTTTAAAGTTCCGCCGACACAAAATTAAAAACCATTTTGTGAACTTCGAATCTTTCTTARATGCCTGGGCACTTCATTGAACTCGTTCACGAATTAAGTGTGATTTGTAGTTGGTCTATTTGCTCTTTTTGAGCGGGGTCGTCGTGCTTCGAACACCGGGCTCCCGACCGACGCAATATGCAAWTTTTTTTACAATAATAACACCGGGCTTACCTTCACTCAGTAGACACGGCATTCTTCACAATCTATCTAATGGTATTAAAATACCTATTACAGTCTTTACGACAAAGCAGACAGCCAATTCTTGGTGGTTTTTCCCGGCTACACTCGATGAATATGACCTTGACATTCACCAATCCGTTCCGTACGTGCGATGATAGATTTTCACAAGTCCAGGTTAGTGCTTTGCGGGCTGGGATACAGACACGTGATAACTTGTTTGCATAAGTGGCGAGAGTCCTGGGTAAACATTSCAAAATGTCATAAAATTCACGGCTCTTTGCACGATCTAAATTGATACAAGTCAATCACAGAGAAAACAGAAAAAGATGAGTTGAAAAGTATAACGCTATCACTAGTTTTAATTTTCATGAATCTGAGATTATTAGAGTTTGTCTGTTCATTAATTAATACATTATTCCCACATGTCTTTTTAATTAAAAGTAAAAACATAAATCGCATTGGATGTGCATTAGTAGTTTTAAAAATATTCCATGAAAGCAGAAAAAAGGAAAAATATCGCTTCATATGGGCTCCCTGTGGTCAAATTTTGCTGCGACCGGGCTTCCTGCGGCGAATTCTTATCATAACAAAAASAAAATGGCTGCAATTTTGAGAGTTGCAGAGGTTTTAGAATCSTACAGGGGCCGCGATAAAATTCTACGGCTGGCTTCTTATTCCTCCCTATTAGTAGGTGGAAGTCTTAAAAACACGAAGCTACAAGGGGTTGGACAAAGCTTGGGCATTTTGTCAAAAAATTTAAACGAGTGTCGCACGATCCTGAGGTTGTTTGATGATCTCTCGATGTTTCTACATTGCAGGCGATATGGTCTCGGTTCAAAGGTATTAAAACTGTTGTTTCTGTACCTTTTCTTCGCGAATACCGTTATTTTATTATTTTGACACTGTCTATGCTTAACAAGCCAGGACTAGCCTCATTTTAAAAATCTTTAGGKGGTGATATCTCCCCCGGCACCCATAAAATCCKTTGTCAAACTCCTGCGATTTATATTAGTGTTAAACCTAGGATTCCATAGGTTTTTYACAAGTTAATTCAAGGTTGACGATAATTGGGTGTTGAACAACCTTTCTCTTTGGTCTAGAAAGGTTAGGGGTTGACTAATGGAATTGCTCATTGCTGTTTATAAATAAATAATAAACAGCATTAAGAAGACATACAATGCAGTGTAGAGGTGTGCTGCAAGGATCTCAAACTCCTGACCCTAAACCAGATAGGCTTTTTCATGTCCTATCACAGACTAAACCTATGAATTTTACACACTGTTTTGCTAACTTTTAAACAGAATTTTACATTGTTTCAGTGTCAACTGAAGCACAGCTTATTCCAGACTACTGTAAAACCAATCAAAACCTTCCTCTTATCAGACTAAAACGACCAAATTGCAACCCTTTCCCAGACAAAAAACATATCCCAGCTATCCCAGACAAAATGTCAAAAAAGGTTAACCCAGACTTATAGATTAATAGCAGAAAAACCATACCCTTTAACTYAGCATATACCCATATAGCAAATATATAGGGAGTACCCCCTGGCCCGTTATCCTATGAAGCTTCTTAGCAGGGAAAACTATAGACCAGTTTATGGCCTCCTTTCAACCTTCTCCAGGACTCGTTGGGAAAGAGAGTCCAGATTCCACTTTTGTCGTGCTTGTGCATGTCATCTGTTTTGATTTGCAAGTATAACTCACCTTTTCCATGAGACTAAGTATAATTTATGAAGTGTGATTCAAAATAACTTCCTTCCAATTGAGGTATCTATATAGAGCCAGCTGTTTTTAGTAAAATGTTTCTTGCTATTACTGTTGAATTGGGTGGCCAGAATTGACAAGTTTATGAAACAAAGAGGGAAAACTTAAATAGACAACATATATAACATGCAAATAGCAAAGTATAATCAAGGGAAGCTATTAAATTGAATTTATTTTATTATTTCAGGAAAATGACATGTTCATCCAGGTAACAACTCTRGTAAGCAACTTCTTCATGCAATCATATTACCCAATAGAGCAYATTGCTTGGGCTCGTGACCACAAAATCCTKACAGGCAAATCAGGCAAGTTGTGGACACTGGTRATCTTTCTATGGTTGGGATACCTGTTGATTTCTATTGCTCAGAGCTTGTGGCTCTTGAAAACTCTTAAAAATGTTGAAGACGAAAGTGCTGAAGACCATAAGGAATGGTATCATGCAAAGAAAAGGCAGCTTATTGTCACTTTAATTGGAAGTCTGGGCGATGCATGCAATGCTATCAACTGGCTTCCTGAAGGAATTCTCTGGAGTGGAAAGTTTAGTCAGGCAGTGATTGGATTGCTGGGAACTATTTCATCTTCTGCACTGTTTTAYAATTATCTGAACCCTGTTCCTCCCAAGAACAGCAAAGTGTTAAGTAAGAAATCTTGAATGCAAAGAATTAGTAAAGAGGTTCAGTTACTTCTTCCTCTAAGTGACTATTGGTACAGTAGTTTATAGATCACAAGGTCAGTGATCATTAAATTTAAAGTAATGTTTTAACATTATTAATGTCTTTATACTGAAAAGTGTAGGAAATACTAGAGTAGCACTAAAGCTAAAAAATAAAATAATTAATTAATAATTATAAACTATACAAACTGACATCATAGATTTTAGAAATTTAGAGACTTTCACTAATTAGACATTTAGGAGTGACATAATTTGATGGTACAGTCTACAAATATGATAATTCCCCCCTCCCCCCTATGTTTCAAGCTACATAGATAGCAGATAATCTCCCTTCAATAATGAATTTAACTTTTTAAAGCAACCCCCACCCCTACAAAACAGAGTTTTACCCCCACCCCGAACATTGGGCAAGCCAATATGTTTAAATATACATAAATAATAAAGGAGAAAATTTGACGTTTCATAAAGCATATTACTTAGATATCTACCAATATTAGAAAAATGTCTTCACTTGAGTCAGAAACAGTGAACCTGACAACCACATTGTAACAGCAACTRCCTATAGTTGACAGTTAATAGATTGTGTAATTCATATACATAATTCTGCAACATCACTGACTTATACAATGTAAATATATATACACCTACTTGCGAAAACGTTGTCATAAAAAAATAGGACGTTTCTATTTTAGTAAAAAGGAATAAATTAAAAATAATAAAAAAGATCACTGAGGCTGAACGCCCTCTTTTGTCTTGTTTTAATTTATTCCTATTTACTAAATTCGAATGTTCTATTTTCTATGACAACGTTTCTGCAAGTAGGTGTATCTCCAACCACATTTCTGTAAGCTCATAATCTCAAATATTTAATGGGTTTCAACACTGTTACAAGCTAGTAACACATCCTTCGCATATCATTTTAACACAATAAACAAGCCTTGTTCAGCGCGTGCTTCTCTTCACTTAAGTTTCCACAGATCTCTACTACTTCAATGCAGACACTGCTGCACCCATGGCCATGCACACACTCAAGGTTTGTCATAATGCGGACCTAAATTAAATGTCTAAATTAGTTCAATGCACAGGTATAGTGTGTAAGAACTGGCTGCTAGAATGTTCGTCCGAACCCCCCGAACTCCCGGGGATGCTCGTCGTAAATTTTCAAAAATACCCCTAAAAGATCTTAGAAGTATTGAAAAAAGGGCGTGGCTGACTGATTTTTAACCCCTAAGGGATTGCACAACAAATATTGTTACATCAGTTCCAAATGATAAAATGTAATATAAAAATTAGGTAACACCTAATAGCGGAGCTCCAATAGCAGTATAGAAGCTGAAAATGATTATCTAGTACTGCTATTTCAAAG